CTGGGCGCACGCATAGTCGGTCGTCCGACAGCAACGGTCGCAACTGTCTGACTGTCTACTGCATCTAATCGTCGAATACTCAGGCAAGTCCGACGATCGATACGCATCCAATGCTGTGCGACACTTGCAGTCGTTGCTGTCGTCCGACCGACTATGCGTCCGGCCTTGCTCGGTTGAACCAACCAAAGGCGCCGCACGTGAAACGCGTTGCGCCCCCAACGTAATTGTAGGTAGCACCATGTATATCCTTATGACCTCTTGAAGTGCGGCACAAATTACAATAAAGCTTTCGACCCTGATTGGGGGCATAAAGCTACAAAGTGTACGTTTCGTAAACGAAATTGCATGTTTGTGCAAAATCGCGTGGATCTTTCTCACACGGAATATTGCGGACTGTTGTGGTCACGGATGAGGCGTCCTGTGTTGTCTTTAGTTTGCCGTGGTAATGGCGTTGAATTTGATCTCTTCGTATGATAGCGACGATGATAGTGGTGCTTCCGATCATGCTGAGTCTGTACATGCCTCGGACGCTGAGATACCTCAGTCATCAGAGAAGCCGGTGAGTTGGGGTGTGTTAGAGTTCAGATTCAGTCTAATTGGGTCGTATAGTAGTTCTGTATGACTAGTTCAAAAACTTGGTCATGTTGTTAAGAGCGTTTCACCCATTCCGTTGCTATCCTTGTTCATTTTCCTCGTAACTTGTATTTGAAATGATGATTTTAGAAAAATTCTTCATTCTTCTTTGGAGATGGTGATGGTAGCGATAGTGATGGCAGTTCGGAAGGATCGTCGAAGAACACTGACCCTATCAATTCCAACCTTACCTCAGGTTCAGTTTTTCTGATTTCTGCATGGAGAAAGCAATCACAGTGATACAAAATTTGATGCATCTCGTGGATCTAGTCAGCACTCCACAGAAATTTGGTACGTGAAGCATCATAAACGACACGGTGGTGATAATGCAGAATTTGGTTTTTGTCAGTGCTAGGATCTTTATCATCATCTTGATTGCTGCAGAGCACCAGTCCAGGAGTTGGTGTACCCAAGGCGGTTTAAACAGTGCGATGAGTTTTTGTCGCCGTAACCTATTGAAAGTACTGGTGCGCGGATTTGTATTAGAGGGTGGGAGCGAGGTCCTTCAGAACTTGATTTACTTGAGACTGTCCTCTCAATCACTTCTTATAGAAAATTGAACAATTCATTGATTTTCCAGTCCACTACACTACTTATCATTTGGGGAATGATAATCGGAACTATAAATCGCTCACTGATACGTTTCTTAAAAGTAACATACTTTGAACATAACGAATTGGAGCGAAAAACAATCAAAACGCCCTTATAAATGATTAGCTCAAGAGTTAAGTCGGTGAAGGAATGGTACATGTAGCAAACTGATAGCTTTGAGGTGATGTGGGTTTCTGATTGTTGTCAGGTCGCTAGCGGGGGGCGAGCAGACTTTACAATTCAGGATAAAAAATCATTCTTGCAGCGAAACAGCGAGAAGGATTGGATATTTTATTTTTGGAAGAGATGATAAAGCTTTATTCCGCCGTCGAAGAAAACTATCTACTGGAGTTCTCGCATCATTCCGTCAGAATGAGGCTTCCTTCTCCGCCAAGGCTATAGGTAGTTGTAATAATGTATCGAAGTGTTGTGTTCGTGACGAGAATGCGAAGCTTTGACTCATAGCTTTCAGAGACATCCAGGTTTGATAAAAGAAATGAGAGATGGAGTGAATATCATTATATAATCGGTCGCAGAAATTGCTCATGCTTCTTAACCTCCAGTTATCCAGTAATTTCCTGCTGCTTGACTGCTTCATGTTCTCCGGGAGCGTCACTGCAACCATGGACGTCCAAGGAATGATTTCCTTTGTTCTCGCTCGAATTGAACAATGTTGTTGTGAAACTCAGATTTTTATAAACTTGTCCAGAAATGTGCGTAAAAGTTCCAGTGTAGGTTCGACGAACAGTGGGTGAACGGTATCTTCCGAAATGGCGTTACTGTATTTTTGCTACCAGGAGTTGTACTATCATTCTATAAGAAGTTATTGAGATGATTAATCTCAAGTTAGATAAACTTTTGGAGGACATCGCTTCTGCGCTTAAAAGTTCGCGCCCCAGTACGACTAAATAACAGTAACAAAAATTCATCGGACTGTCTGAAGCGTCTTATCTGGTGTAATGGATAGCCGGGAAATCGCGGCGCAAAGCACTCTAGTTTTTAAGACCACGACATTCCTGGTTTAATTCATGGCTTAGTCGCTTTATTGCACAAATAAAATGGTTTACCCACCCTGAAGCATCCTTTCCGCGCAAAATAAGATTAGTGTAGGTGACGTGAACCACACCGCCTGCCATGATCTTCCTCATATATGCGCACCACACCCGTCCACTTTTCGAGTTTATAGTAGTGGAGTGGCGCGGTTACGGGTCTCCAATTTTTCTTCTGTTCCTTTTTTTCGCGAACAGTACCACCCAGATGCAGCCACTTTGTTAAAGCTGGGCTTTAGTCTTGGCCAATTATTTCTTTCAGTTGGGTTCGTGGATTAAGTCATAGCGTGCCGTCGAGTCTCTTAAAGTCAATTTCTACGCCCAGTTCAGATGATACGTGTCCTCCATATAATATTCAATACATATACGGTGCAGCAGATGCTTCTTTGGGTAGCATACACAAGGGTGGTATGGTAATGCAATACCGGAGACGTGACAATTGAACTGTAGGTGGCGCGGTATCACGCTGAAGCTTTGTGCCAGGCACCCAGTTCAATTGACGCCGAATGGTCTTATATAGACTCGGAGGTTCAGCAGTTGTACGTGAAGTTAACCAAAGAGGTTGATTCATGTAATTAGCACTTATCTAGGTTACAGTTCGTCGTCTCCCAGCGCAGGATCCGTGCTGAAAGAAACAATAGGTGGTAGAACGGTCATTTTCTTGTTTTTATCGTACCTCATTTTGTTTTGGTGTATTTATTGTGAGGTGCATATTATAGTTCGAGATTTTTCTTGTTAACATTTTTGTGTTCCCTCAACATTACAGGGTTCTAGTGTGTTCTCGAGCGAGCGGGAGCGTGAAGATCTCGCACACGTCCTAACACTAAGTCAGCACGTGCCCTTGACTGAAAAAGTGGAAACAAAAAAGAAGTCTTTGTGCCGGTAGGCTGTTATACTTCATATTTGAATATAATCTCATGTAAAAGCTGGCCTGAAGACGCAGAGGCTGAATGTAATTCCACCAATCGTACCACTCTAGACAAAACACGTGCTTTTCTCTTCGGATAGGGTTATTGTACGCTTGATTTGATTTCAGAGAGGTACTTTTGATTAGGACTGCTAAGCCCTGAAGTGAAGCTTGGTAAAAAATTTTTAGTCACGTTTTTCTTCAGACGCGGTTGCTACGCGGAACAGCACTTTCTGTGTGCGGCGATGAACCCCTAGTATCTGCATGTGTCTGTATTCTCGCGCTGCCTTTTCAATGGTCGAGATTCATTTTGCTTTAGTTGTCTATTTTGATTCAGGTTTCGTGAGAATGCCCGAATACCTTACTAAAATTAGGGAACTGGCGGCTTTTAAGATTCAGTGATACAGAGCTTCACACAATTGTGTTGTGGGAATGCTGCGTTGCGGAAGTTACGGTCGCATACGGCGTCATTATTTGTGCAGATATGGGGGTTTCTGTATTTGGTTTGGTTCCCTCCAATACCTCGCGATCTGGAAGGCTTAGTCCACTCTTTACACGTTGACGACAGCGCAGGTTTTGGCTTTTCCGCCGCATGGGACATGGGCAATTTGGCGGGCGCGATTTGCCTGACGCGCAAGCGCGTCAGCTTGTCCCACGATGTTTTTTGGAACTCAAAACTGAAAAGTGGCAAAACAAGGGTACAACGCTAATTGAGGGGAGGGGGCTTCCGGTGAACGCGCGCTGCTTGTCTCTACCCTCTCAGCGAAATACTAGTGATGACATCAATGCAGAATAAGGAATCCATGAGTCTGGGGAGTATAGCCAGCTCGGGAATGGGGAGAGGAGGGTCGGGCGATTTGAATGACATGCGTGGAAAGCTGGAATGTGCATGTTCACACTATCTCGGATAAATGACTCCAAGAAAGTGGTCGAATCACTGCTGAACGTTGAGCGTGAATACTTCCTAAGCCAGTTGCTTCCCACGCGACAGATGTCAGAAGAAGTAAGTAGGTTCGAAAGGAATCAACAGCACAAAGTGTTTGAACGTTATGCAACTATGTCTAAAGAGCAAGGATCTCTTCGCGGCCCATAAACAAAAAGGGTCAAACGCGCTGCGGAAGATGTAGAAAATTCTTTTGTATAGACTGCTTCAATGAAAAACACAAGTCATCTATAGAACCGTAATTCTTCGACATTATGTATCACATTGTTGTTTCATTTATATTAGGTCGGTCCATAAGTCTTGCAACAAACTACATTTAATGCTATAGAATTTTAGGGAGAACTCCTGAAAATCCGCAACATATTTCCTGACGTAGCATCAACCTTTGCAATTTCAGCCAACGGTCCAGCTCGTTGTCTGCTTACTTATTATGGATATTACACCGATTTCGCGAGAGGGCTCTCGGTGCCCTTAATTTTTACGAGTACTGCTTGGAATGTTCCGCAAGTCATGCTAGACCAAGGATTGGCCAGAAGATGGGCGAGGGCACGCTCTCTCAAA